GGTGTCTCTAAAAAGCTATTAATGGATCCTTTTCCCTTTCTACCTTCAGGCAGTGCTTCTCCCTGTTTATCCATTCACTGACTTTCAAAGCGCTGTCACTCCTTCCCTGGCACCCATGAAAAAAAACATTTCTCCTCACCTGCCTCAGATGTGCTTCTGGACCTCCTCCTATCCCATCTCTATATCTGGTTTCTTCCACAATAGGAAATACACCAGCTTCTCCTCAGAGTTCCTCTAGAACAATGTATCTTAAGACTGAAGGTCCAGAAAGCCTTAGATTTTATGCAAATACAATGCAATGTCCATGTTTGATGTCTGTGTACTGCCCTATTTGCATATTCTGCCTTTAAAAAATTTTCACAGAAAAAGTTACTTCTATTTTCCAGTCTTGCTCCCTCATTAGTGTCAGGTATACTGCAACACTGCCAGGATGGCTACAGAGAAATCTAAACCAAACAGTACTACCAGACAATAGGACATCTTTAATTCTGATGGAAAGGGAGGGAAAAAACCCAACCTGAAACTACACATTAAGCACTTGGATTTATGATTTAGGTATATTACTACTAGCAACTTGGTGGAATCTCTTCAATCAGAACCTGTAGCCACAAGGAAAAGAAGCAGCAGGAGGATCTATTTGTGGTGAAAGGAGGAAACATTAGCTCAGACAATTCAAAGAAAACATGGTTACCTTCACCACAGCTTATTTAGATACTGCAGCAGAAGAGCCCTGAGATTCTCAGTTCCTTTCCAGGAACACACTCTTACACACTCCAATTCCTCCTAGTCAAGGCTTAGACTCTGACCACTTGAAGTGTCTCCCCTGCCAGAGCTGGCCCTCCTCCTACCACCAACCCCAGCTGAGTGAAGTCCTTTCCAGCTGCAAAGGGGCAGAGAGGGTCATTAGGCACTCTGCCTCATTGCACTTCAGCACCTGCATGTAATCTCAGAGGAAGTGGGGAGGCAACGCTCCACTCAAGGAGCCATCTAGCTCTCACATGTTTGGTTGCTGTACTGTGAGGTTGATGCAGTCCAGAAGAAACAGGAGAGATTAACGGGGAAGGGTGAAAGTTTCATCCCTTTGCCTTCCTAGGAAAGTGAGACATTCCTAAGGGAAGTCTTCAATGAATGCAGAGGAATAGGAATAGATCATTCTGCTTTAACACCTTCAAAAGGTCAGTACAGGGCTTGGCAGGATGTTCTTCACCATTCCAAACAGCAGTGCAATCCACTTGGGTTGTCCTATGTCTCTGGGAAGAGGCAATTACATAGCTAGGACTTTGGTAGGAAAAAAAAAAAAAAAAGCATTGCTCTACCAGAAAACAAAGTGAAAGAAACAGTGTTTGCTATTACGCTCTACCTTACCCCTTTGTCTAACTTTCTTAGCTTAGAATATTTTCGTTAAAAGCTCAAGCTCCTCTAGTACTGCCTGATGAGAGACTAAGCATCCTTCTTGGCCACAGAGAAAAAGGTTTTAAATCAGTCCCTATAGGTTATGTCTTGGCCACAGAGAAAAAGGTTTTAAACATAACCTATAGGGACTGATTTATGAAGTACACTATCATGCTATGCAGAGAGCCAAGTAAAGTTCCCTATAACCAGTTCTGGAACGAGAAACATTATAGGTACACAAGCACTGCCCTAACTCAGTTCTGCCTCTTCAAGGATCAAACTGGTTGCCCCAGGGAGTCAGGCTGATACCCACAGGCATTCCAGCGCTCTCAGGCCAGCTCAGGTTTCTTTCATAGAACAGTTTGGGTTGGAAGGGACCTTTAAAGGTCATCTAATCCAACCCCCTGCAATGACAGCAGGGACATCTTCAATTAGATCAGGTTGCTCAGAGCCCCGTCCAACCTGACCTTGAATGTTTCCAGGGATGGGGCATCTACCACCTCTCTGGACAACCTGCACCAGTGTTTCACCGCTCTCATTGTAAAAAAATTTCTTCCTTGTTCTGTCATTCTGGAGAAATATGTCTACCCTACTAGAAATTTGTTGTAAAAAGTTTCTTCCTTACATCTAGTCTAAATCTTCCTTCCCTCTTTTAGTTTAAAGCCATTACCCCTTGTCCTATTGCAACAGGCCCTGATAAAGCGTCCCTCCCCATCTTTCCTGTAGGTCCTGCTTAAGTACTGAAAGGCCGCCATAAGGTCTCCCCAGAGCCTTCTCTTCTCCAGGCTGAACAATCCCAACTCTCTCAGCCTGTCCTCGTAGGAGAGGTGCTCCATATCATGCATTGCACAGATATACCCTGGCATTTCAGAAGTAAACATAAAGAAAACACTCAAAAGAACCATCATCCAATTCCAGGTGGATCTCAGGCTGATTCTGCAGCCTTTGTCATCAGTGTTTTCATCCCTAGCAAAAGAAAGAAGAGGAAACTGACCCTGGGAGGGTTTTCACAAGGCAAACTAATTTCTGCTCAACTCATCTAAAGCTCTACTTAACGAAAGCATTGCCTGCTTTGATGTCTGAGAATAACTCACTACATATGCAATAAGAAGCCTTCTCAGCCTATACAGGCTATCTATTCTGGTCAGACCCTGCTCTGTGCAGGTATCAGTGTTCAGGTGGCACTTGTGGATTTTGTCAGGATTCTGACAGTCATCTAGGGCTGCTCCTTCCTCCATTATTCACAGTTCCCCGTCACCTCCACTTGCCAAAACCAGAAGAGAGGAAAAGCACAATGGTCAGCTTCCTCACACTTCCTGGTGATACCTGCGGTACCTCACCCTGTGTCCTGAGGGGTCTGGAGGAATGACAGAACGGACATGCAGAGTGCTAATTAGTAACATGGCTTTCCTTTTGAAATACTGCATTTCTCCATTCATCCCATTTCCAGGTGCCTCCTTTGACAACCCTGCACAGTGTTCATGGTTAGTGAATAGTGTATGCTGGATTTGTCCTCAGAGGCCAGGCAAGGTACATTTTGGGCACATTTTCACAGCATCTGAAAGCATTACTGGACCACTACTAAGGGCAGGTTGCTATTAAGCAGACTATAGCTCAAAACCAGCCAGCACCAGCCTGCATTTAAGTCAAGACAGCTGCTTATACACATCTCCTGTCACTGCCTAGTCAAGTGAAGATTACAAAGCACATTATGATTATCTGTTTTCTTCCTCTTCCTCTCATTCTTAAGTGGTTGCTTGGGTTTTTCTTCTCACAGAGCATTATGAGCCTGGGACGGCTATGTAAGCAGATCTTACTTAGCACATTGTGCAAGCTAATAGAATACAAATGATTATATAAATAATAAAGCTGCTGAAGATTTTCTTGTCACTGCTCTCTCTGCTCCATTGGCTTGACTTAAAGCACACATAAAAATGGCCTCTGCTAAGTGTTATGTTCATAGCATCCATAAATAAAATTAAGATCCTGATTTAAAGAGACACTAAGAAGCTGTATCTCCTCTTGATTTCAATCAAACTGGGATGCTCCGTGCCTATGAAAATCAGGCCTAAGGCTCTATAGATGGAAACAGAAGGATTTGATCTCTGTAGGACAGTTTGTATTCAGCAGGGCAGTTTCATTTCCTATGTAAGATGCTCACGTGGTCTTTTGCAGTGTACGTGCACCCCCTTAACTAATCCAGAGTCAGGTCAGGCAGGAGAGCAGCTCCAGACTCTGACAGCCATTGCTCATATCAAAGGACTGGCACAGGACATACAACCCCTGACACCACGAGTCGTGCATCAGTAGGATGGTAACTTGTCAGGCAGTTACAGCCACAGATCATCATCTAGCCCAGCATTGCTGTTTCCACGAGTCCTGTATGAAAACTCAGCTCTGCCCTCCCTCTGATATTAAATGTTCACACAAAAAAAAAAGGATATTATGACCACCCTTTGGGCTGCAAATAACATTAGACCCACCCAGCCACGCCCTGTGTAAAATAGTACTAGTACAGAATCACAACATTAGGGAGAAAAATCTTGTAGGAAACTCTTATTCTAGGCTAGCTAGGAAGCTGACTGATGGAAAACTTAAGCTTGTTTTTCAGTAAGCTTTCTATAACACATTTTGGGGGTGTCAATATCTGTATCACCATTAAACACAGTGATCATCACAAATTGTATTAGAGGAGATAGGAAACACAACAAAAGTTGACTGCAGGACAGAACACCCGAACAACAACTGCACCGAGTTCCAGCTTCGGGCTGAGGCTTCATCTTTTTTCTCCCCCCAGCCCCTCCCTCCAGGAACACTACTCTGGTTCTTGCTGCTAGCCAGGCAGTCCACTCTCTATTATTCACATGTGGATTTTCTCAAAATTGTGGATTAAAGATGTGATGAGGGCAGCCAGCCAGCGTGAGACAACATGGGTTTGGAAGCCAGCTAGCTATTCCTCACCAACGCAGCAACTCTGCTGCATGGGCTTACCAACACAGTACACTTCAAGTCCACATGCCACATGATTGCCACATCTCCAGTATACCCTCATGCTGCATTCTTCTCACCTAATTTATACGTATATTTTATGCTACCTTCAACTTTCACTTTTCCAGTTTATACTACCTCTATATCTTCCCGGAAAACTGACAACTAATATATTCCCAGGTGGAATCCAGGTCCTTAAAAATATATCCTAAACATGCTTCTTATTATGATTTTTTTTTTCCCCCCAAAAAATGCTGCTTAGTAATCAAAGGCTATTTATCTTTTTTTTTTTTTTAATGGCTATTGCCTAAGTGCCTAGAAGATTGTAATGCTTCCCTCTGAATAGTTAACAGCCTACAGAAGACACGTCTCCCACTGTTACAGGTATTTTTTCTGTAATCCAAGCACTAGAAGTCTGATTCTGACCATAAGCTCATAAGTTTTGAAGTTGATGCTGTCTGTCCAGCTGAATGACAAGTTTATCCTTACAGAGCTGTTGCAGTATCAGCGTAAAAACTCACCATCGGGGAACAACATTGAGTGTGTAATGAAAAGCAGGAAAGAGCAATGAATTTGAGATACCAAAAGCACAGAAACAGAAGTTAATTTGAAATAGTTACCTCTTTGAGGCAGCCCATGAAGTTGTTGCTTACTGGAGAACCAGGTAAATCAGCAGTACTGGGGCTCCCTCCCACGTAAAAGAAGTCATCTGAGCCCAGCATGGTGTAGTCCTCCTGTGTGTAGCCCGTGGTGGTAAGGATGCCATCCACAGAGATTGTCACCTGTTCAAAGGACACAACGGACAAAGAAAATCCCAGCAATGACCTTACAATCCTGAACAGAACAAGTTACCTCCCCTATACTTTTATGTCAGTTTTATTAAGGATTTTGTTGAGATTTGGTATGTATTTTTTTAGTTCAGCCAAGCTCCATTTTCTGGTCTGCTTCACCCGCAATGGAAATGCTCCAGCATCTGCTTCTCCCCTTTCTGGTGTATGAGCACCATCAGGCTGACCCAGCAGTCTACCCACCGAGATGCGTTCCATCTATTCAGGCCAGAAAATGGAACTGTCCTTGAAAGATATTTCTCATATTAGCTGATTTTATGATTAATTAGTATTTATTTTAATGATTACAGTTAGTTATGGTTGTTAGTTAAAAAAAAAAACACTAATGAAGACGAGGTTGGTATTTTGTATTTTTTATGTGTCTTTTGCTCACAGCACACTGACGATCATGCATTCGGGGAGGGAGGAGAGGGATCTCACTTTCAATACATTATGGATGTGCATGCCATGTACCTAGAGAGACACACACCCACCACAAAAAAAAATATAAATAAATAAAAGAAAATTATATGACAAACTAACTCATAACCAAAATATAAATAGGAAATAAATCAGAATACAATAAAGCAAAATAAATCGACCACACACCAAAAAGTGTGAGAGAAGCAGAGATGAGAAAGAAAGAAAACACAAAGCATGCACACACTGCACTTTAACATGTCATGCCAATATATCTGGAGGCCAGAAAATGACAGGAAAAAAGGACATAAAAGAGAGAAGGAGAAAGAAAACTATTTCACATTGGCATGCAATCAAAAATAAAAATACCAAACAAACCACATAATAATCAGAAAACTTAAAACCAAACAGAAATGCCCCCAAAACCTCTAACCCCAAACACATGGAGGATGAAGGGGGACAGAAGGAGAGGGAGGGAGTGGAGCAAGTGAATTTGATGTGTTTTGCTTAGATGTTGTTAGTGGCTTAAGGGGAAGATGGAGGAAAATAGATCAAGGCCAGGAGGAGACGGGCGAGTCACCAGACGTGGACATGCCATGCAGAGTGTGTACTGAAACAAACAACCGGCTGAGCTCCTGTCGGCCACGGCAGGTAGAGGTCAGAGAGAGAGAGAAAGTGAGAGAGAACAAGAGGGAGGAGGAGGAGAGAAAGAGGAGGGAGGGAAGTGGGGGAAAATCAGGAGAAAGAGGACAACTCTGGCCAGTTTGCCTGTAATAGCCGTTGCCACAACAAAAGGATGAGAGAAAAAGAGAGCCTTCACCACCACGGACTAGAGGCCCTGCAATGGTTCTGATCTAGAAACCTTCAGAGTAAAAAACAAAAACCAAAAGGGGGGAAAAAAGCAAAATGAAAACCAAAGCAAAAGAGAGAAAGCTAAACTCAAAAGCAAGGGACAAAAAACCCAACAATTTATCACTGGAATGGAAAAGAAGAACTAAAGAGGGAAGTGAAGAAACCAATGAAAGAAATGTTCCAACCCCATTTCCAGAAGAGCTGTGTTAGTTGCTTTGGCTGCTCATTTTTCCATTAAAAAGAAGAAAAGAAGAAAAATAAAGTAGGGGAAAAAAAACGTGTTTTCAATGAAATTAAAATAAAATTAAAGGAAGAAGTATAAAGGAGGGGAGAAAAAGAGGGGGTAAGGGGAGGAAAAGGCAGGTAACACACGGCAAACCCAAAAAAAGAGACAATAAGAATGATATCTACCAGACAATGTAGTTTGTTTACCATAGCGTGTCCAATGCCTGAGTGCTTTGCGGAAAAGGGGGAAGAAAGGAAATTAAAAAATTGTGAACAGAACGATTGTTAATTAAAATAACTAAAAGCAAAGATGAGTCGTTAGGGTGTTAGTACATTAGTTGGTTAGTAAAAATGACACATTGCATGAATGGTCTAGTGTTAGTCTTTCAAAAAAAGGCGTGGGGCACCTGAGACACACAAAGTGAGAAAGAGGACAATATGACCAGGACTCTATGGGGAAACCATGCCACCTAGACTGTAAAGAAGGGTGCTACCTAGTCTTCCCACCCTGGTATTAGTCATTAACTTCAACCCTCATGTACATTATCCAGGACTGAAGCAAAGTTAACACAGTACAATACTTACTCTTCAAATGCCCATCAAGGTGCTTCCCTCTAACAAGAACCTTACCCTCAGAGATGTACACGCACAGCACAGTTCACCCCTTCAGCACAAACCCAACCATGACTCCCTTCTGCTACCCACCACCGCCCACCTACATCCCTGCTCCTCTTCCAAGCCTCACTACCCTCAAGTGTTGCAGAGTATCACAAGCAGGCCAATATTTCCTTTTGCTGGAGGATACAGATGAAGAGGAACACAAGATTCCAAGTCTTCCAAGTTTCCAAATCTGCAGGTTTCTTTAGAACAGGTGAGTTTGTGACTTTCAGGAGAAGCACACAGAAATGCCTGTGCTTGACTATTTGCCTGTGGCTCACTTCCATCATCCGAGATTACAGGAGTTGAACCTCACCTACTGTAGGAGGAAATGTGTCAAAGATTTGTGTGGGAAGAATTGTCGCTTGTGTCAAGGTTGAAGCCAGAAGATTGACAAGATTTAGTGTCTCTCCTGTTAGACTGCATGTATATTATGGAGGAGCTAGGAGAATTCACCAGTCAGTGCACTTAGTTGGGTTTAGCAGAACTTTGCAGATGTTTTGTTAATCCCTCCCAATGCATGCAGATGCCAATGTTCGAACCTACGCATTGTTTCTTGTTTGATTTTTAGAAGCTAAGGAACTCAATATCTTTATAGCAGATTTTGCATGGTGACTAGCTTCAGTGTTAATAGGGAAGTGCAGCCCGTGGAGGCTCCAAGTCCTCATTCCAGTGTGACTGAAGTTGGCAAGAACTCTCCTAAATAACACAAGCAAGATCTATGCTGCCTCACGTACTATCTGCTTGCAAATTTCAGAGAGTCAGGCATTGACTAAGGAAATAAGTTCATGAAAACTTCGTGGCATCGAACATAATGTCTGCAGTCTATTTTATTTGTCTATGGGGATGAAATAATAATATTCTATACTTTGGTACAACAAGCGCAAAACTCCCGAATTCTTCATCAAGGACGTTTCACTCTCAGTGATACATTGTGTTAGTAAATCCATTTTTTACCAACAAGGGAGTTGGAAGGAACATAAAATGCTAAAAATGAGATGGAGTGTCAGCAGCAGACCTGAAGACAGACACGGGAAGTCTGACCTTCAGTCTCCTCTGCTTCTCCGCCTCCTACTATACCACACTGCCCCAAACATGCTCTGAAAGCCCTGGTAAAATTCAGCCATGATCCTATTTCTAGTAAAGGTTTATCACAATGCAGAAAGAGGGCTTAGTTTTAACTGAAATAATAAGATAAATAAACAAGGAGATTTGCTTTGACATTAACAATCACTACTCAAGGGGATCTGTGGGTTCACTTGGTTTGTCTCTAAGGAGATTAACTGCTGCGATAGTCATTTGATCTTAAAAAAAAAAAAAAGCAGCACTTAGTACTTTCCTAGCTTAGCTACAAAACATTTAACAATTCCAAAAAGTACTGGGCAAAAGTCCAGCTATTTAAAGTTCTGCTCTAATTCTAGGAACAACCAAAAAATTATGCAAATCCTCCTCCCCCTTCTCCCAAACCCCAAAAGAGTAGAGAAAAAGGCTAGATGGCATCCTGAAGCTGATAGCCCATTTACCTGAAATTGTTTTAGCTTTGGATCATATCCTTGGAATTTCTAAATTTTACTCTTTTTAAGTTCATTTCGAGAAATATATTTATCTTCAGTTAAATGTTTTCAATCAACTACAAGGAGGCTACTGAATTCCTTATTAAGCTTCAATATTCAGGGGCAACGTTTTTTTGTTGATTGTTTTGTTTGGTTTTGGGGCAGTTCTTTTGAGGAAACACGAGCACAGCTGGAAACAAGACTCCCAAGTAACCTGTATTATGCTGCAACTTTACAGGTGAATTTATGTCAGGAAAGACACAGAGTAGATAATTTCTTAGATACAAAATTCCTTAGGATATACAAAATTACAGTGGATACAATAAAGGACAAAATTTTATAAATGGTAAATAATCTTTGTCCTTTATTACATCTTCCATAGGAAGATATCAAAGGACTTCACAGGTTCATGGCCTGTCTGAAAAATAGTTAAGTATTTTACAGATAGATAAACTCTCTATCATGTACACACAGACAAAACTAGGAGACATAACCTGCTGGAAGTTGCTGTCAGAATGGAGAAAAACAAAACTCCTTCATCCTGTGCTCTATTTAGAATGGTGTCTTTATCTTTGTGTTTGTTTGTTAAATGAAGCATTTATATATAAGGTCAAGGTATATAGTGACCATTCTTTGCTGTGTCCTGAAAAATGTCCATAGCAAGTATCACTTAGTTATCAGTCATGCAAGTTTTCAATCTTTTCCAAACTCTTTATCCTGAAGAACGAAGGGTTTTAAGACTTCTTCATCCCTAGTACTATCAATTAAAAGTAAGAATGCACAGGACCTGACAGGAAGGCTGCAGCGTTCAAGGTTTCTCTTTATTGAAAACAGGTTAAACTTACCAATAATTTTTGGATGACATCTTTCAGGACTAGCAGGACTGCTTCTCCTCAAGGCCTCATCATTTCCAATTTCTGGGCAGTTTTAGGTTCTGGGTCAATGTCTTAATTTTGAAACTGAACTTGATCAGAAGTTAAAATGGAATTATCCAGGGAAAAAGATGACTCAAAAAATTCCAGCCTTATTGATATTTTGTGGTTGAACCATATTCTGTCACGCCTATCTATAGAATTGGACCCCAGATCACCTCCACTACTTATTTTTAATTTGATTTTAAGACTGGCCTTTCTTTGGAAAGAGTACAGCCACCTCATTAAAACATCCTCTCTCTTGCCCAGTCAGGCTGGATCCTTTAAGAATCCAGGATCACGTGAAAACATCTGTAATGAATAGAATGGTGCTGCTTAACTGGCAAGGGACTCACCTGCTTTCTAATAATCAGTAAAGCACTGTTCTAGTCTAATCAGAGGCGAAGAGGCATAGACATATTTCCATTTAACTGTGGACCCAGAAAATAAATCAAAAAATCACTAGCTGAAACATTAGGAAAAGAAAGCGAGAGCTTCCCATCCAGTTTTGTCTGCGACTCTTCCTCACTTTCTGCTTCTTCAAGATGCAAACCAATCCTGGCATGAAGCAAGGATGCATTTTGCTTCAGGCATATTTTCCCATTGAAAAGCAATTTCCAACAAAAATTAAAAGTACGGTTAACTAAACTGACCAATAAGCTCTACAGAGATATTCATAGACCAGCCATTCTGAGGCCATCTAAAAATAAAATAAAAAAATCACATCAAATAAAGCCGTATATTCTGACCCTTCCAAATGTACAAACCTCAACCAGTTGGTGCATCTCCCTCTACCGGACTGATGGGAACGTTTGAATGAAATAGGATCATTAAGACCCATCCACTGCATAAGAAATGAAATTTGCATTTGCATATAAACTATTGGAAATGCCACAAGAGCCCTGCAGTCTCAAACTTCAATGACAGATTTGTGATGATGTAGAAATACAGGGATTCACATGGGAAAGACAGACAAATATCTCCAGCGCCAAACCCAGATATTTAAAAGACAGATGTGAAATCCCCATAACAGATAAATTATCCACTGACACCTACTAGTAGAGACTGTTTCTGATCCCTGGCACTGATTATCCTACACTCACAGATACGCTTTATCTTAGCTACTGTAAAACGTTACCACAAAAGCCATTTTCTCAGCAAATGACATTATGTAAACTTAAATAAAACTATTAAGAGCTGTGTTAATAGTCACATTAATAAGCAAATAAACAGATCATATTGTTTTCACAACTTAATTCTAAAATCTTAGTTTCAAGCTATTTCTGCTACCTCTACCAATCAGCAAGACACCAAATAGCTCCTATTCACAATGTAAACCTCATTTATCATGCTGCGGATGGGCCGTAGTGACTTGATATATTCACCAGCTTTCAGAGCAAGGTTATTTAATTTTATCTTATCTATTTATGTCTGAAATTATATTTCACGAGGAAGGCTTCAGGATTTTAAGACTAGCCTACTATCAAATACGTCACCTGATAGAGTTGTCTGCTTAGAAAAGCAGCATGCAGATGTGCAAAAATACAGTGGTAAAAACAGAAAAACTTTTCCAAAGTGGAATTGTAGGGTGCTGGATTGATCTGGGTTTGCTTGGCTTTTTTGATCCTTCCACTTTTCCAGTCCTCACAGCCAACAGAAGAGTCTCATAGGCAGAGACACAAGAAATAAAGTAGAATCTCATTATAGAAAGAAAGGGGAAAAATCAAAAAGAAGAAAAGAAGAACAGAGAATCAAGAAGACTCAGAAAGACTCCAGCCAATTAATTCCAAAGCTATAAAGTTAAAATAATTACACACGTACCCACCAGCCTGCACACCTGCACGCTCACATGCACACACAAAAGAAAAGGGAAAGTAAAAACAAAAGACTTCCAGAATTAGAATTATGACATCATGGCAATGGTTAAACCAATTAACAAAACTGAAAGAAAAAGGAGAGAGGTGTAGAGCATTGGCTGTTGGAAAAAGACTCCGTTCCCACAGTAATTAAATGCAACAAGAATATTACTGATAAGATTGAATCATAATTAAGGAAATAATAAAATAAAAAAAGGGAGAACAGAAAAAGAGAAAAGGAAAAGGGAGATGAAAGTAAAGCTATATCACAAGTTTTTATAATTAAATCAAACTGGAAAAAAACAGAAAATTAACAAAGTGGAAATGAAGATATCGCAACAGGGATAAATTCTCATCAACTAATATTTTTTCACTGTCCTTTAGATACCAAGATCCAGAAAAGGTGGAGAAACACTAGTGATTCCATCGAGCATCCCTATTTCTCCATTACTCTCTCCCATCTGCCGGTCCCAATAAAACAGAACAAAATTTGCCCCAGCATTTTCTCCCCTTCACCATTACCTGCCGCAGGTTGCGTGTCACCTTAACGTCATGCCATGCGTTGTCATTGAACTTGCCATTGACCGGCTCCACAATGGCCTCGAAGGCCCCAGACCCCAGGTTAATGACCAATGAGACCGCACCATCTTTCAGGGCCAGGTTGACATAATCAGCTGACTTGCCGGTGTGCAGAATGAGCCCGTTGCGTTGCCATGTCTTGAAGGAGAGAGTGATCTCATCGCTGCTGCTTTGGATGGGGTTTTGCGACAGGTCATAGCAAAGGTATTCGGAACCACGGAAAGTGGCCATGTTCTCATCTCGCGCTGGGAAAAATAAAAAAGGAAACAAAAGAACTACTCAGCAGTCAGCCAAGAAGAGATTTACAGTTGTCATGAAATTTCCAAGCAATCCCACAGCACTGTTAATGCTCTATACAACTACACATCACAGCATGCTAATGACTGTGCAGCTCCTCATGTAATATGGCTACCAAGAGAATTAACGGCAGGGTTCTTGGTACCGAAGAATTTCAGCACTGTGTTTTCAGTTTCACTGCAGCACTGTCACCATAGGGACCGTTCAAAAGTATGCAGTGGAGCCTAGGAAAAGTACATTTACAGACACTGCTGTAAGACACTTCGCATCCTTTTTCGGAGCATGATAGAAAACGCTATTATCCACATAACCATTGTGTATGCGTTGTTCCAAAAGAAATCAATGTTTTGCAAAGATTAGTATTTAGATTCATTGCTAATGTCATCTGAACTTAACCCATCTGCCAGGCAATCTAAGACAGGCATCAGAATATAATCCTGACAGAGCTGCCCCTTTCTTTCGACTGAAAGGGAGACCAAGCAGACAACAGAGCCACATGAAGTACCCTATAGTTTCCTTCTCTGAGAGCATGAGGTAAGTCCACATGAAACATTTTGTCCACAACCATAAGTAATGATGTTGCTGGTAAACACATCTCAGAATGTCACCCATTTGATCAACTTATCCAGAAAGTCTGTACAAGGCAAGCATATCTTTTTCATACTGCAAAAATGAACACGGGGGAATTATTCACAGCACGTGACATGAAGTATTTCCTCATTAAGAAAAAAAAAATAATCTCATATGCACAGTAAGGAAAACCACTGAACTGTTTCTCAGCAACTGGAGGCAGCATTTGAATACCATAAAAATCCTTTGTGTGAGCTGGAAGGCTGCTTCCCAGTACCTGGGCTTGCACTGTCACTCAGAGCCAGCTCTGCTGCCCTGTTGCACTCACGTGACTCAAGCCAGCTGGGTACCCTGGTTTTGCCCAGTAGAAGAAATACAGGATGGTGATGGTAAAGCTTGCAGGAGAGCTAAAGCTTGCAGGAGAGCTATCTATAGCCCATTCCTACCAGTGACAACTGGGGGAAAATGGTAGTTACTATGGAGCCGACACAGATCCCCTCACTCCATGTTGCAGCACCTTTCTGACTCCCAGCTGTGAAAGCAAGTCTGAGCACAAATAACTAGATGGTACAAGCAGTCAAGCTATCATTGCTTACAGTCTGCTGCATAAGGCAAATGCTGGTGCTATTACCGTTGACATTAATAGCATTTTTCTGCTTCACTTTGTCTCATTTAGTAATCCTAATACAGATTAGCCAGAATTTATTATATAAGACTGAGGGGAAAATACTTGTTGTCATAGCCATTCTTGAAAAATAACTACATGGTAAAATCTGTGCCCTCACAGCATGAAACAGTGGTGACAAAACCAGCAGTGTTGCAACATGAACATATATCACCCTCAAGTCATAGGTCTGCTTTAAGCAGCGACTTTTTCAATCTTGATTGAGGGTATCACAGAATGAACTCATTAAAAAAATCGGTGCATTTTGAAGGCAGCAGTTATGTGTGTATGTACTTATGTATGTGAACCATGTGTCTATACATCCCTGTGAGCAAGCAGTAAGACAAATTACTCCACGCAACAGTACAGGTTGGGTGCCAACTGGCTCAAAAGCAGCTTTACAGAAGAAGACCTGAGGGCCCCAGCAGACAAGTTGAGCACAAGCCAGCGGTGCCTGCCCTTTCAGCAAAGGTCAGCCGCATCCTGGGCTGTATTAGCAAGAATGCAGCCAGCAGGCTGACGGAAGCGATTCTTCCCCTAACCGACACTTGTGAGATCACATCGGGAGTACTCTGTCCAGTATTGAGCTTCCTGGTTTAAAAATGGCTTCAACATACTGGTGCGAGTCCAGCAAAGAGCTACCACAACACTCAAGGTGCTGGAGTGGGTGATGTGTATGGAGAAGCTGAGAGAGCTGGGTTTGTTCTACCTCGAGGAGAGACAACTCAAGGAAAATCTTGCTGCCTTCTGCAACGACTTAATGGGAGAGCACAGACGGCCAAATTCTTCTCAGAGGTCTGCAGAAAAAGGATGATAGGCAACAGACGCAGCTGGAATACAAGAAATTCTCATTCTAGACAAAAAAATGTTTCATCTTGAGGATGGTCAAACACTAGGAAGGGCCTAGAGAGATTGTGAAATTTCCATCCTTTGAAATAGTAAAAACTTTATTATGCACAGACCTGAGCTGCCTGCTCTAACTGGACCTGCTCTGAGCTAATGGCTGGACTACACGGCCTCTGGAGGTCCCTTCCAAATTACTTGGCTCTGTGATTCTATTCTGAATACATTTAACTACCACCAAGGAATGCATACGCTTGTGTCAGTGCTCAGCCAGCCTAAGCACAGAGGGCTGATATTGATTGCAGTTCTGGAAGTCAGAGCCGAGCGCTTAACAACCCACTCCACGATGATAATTCCCCTGCCTAGTCACTCCTGATCCATCGGAAGGGAACATGTTACAATCAAGTCAGACACATGCTCTGTGTACCTGCGGGTAATTCCCATCAAATAGCCGGTGTCTGAGGGCAGGAGTCAAACACGATCATTATGACTGAGCCTTTTTCCCCACAGCCGTAGATGTGCGAAGCACTGAATACACATTTGACATCTTTGGGAAGGGGGGTGCGGGGGGTTGATTGTTCACTCAGTACAAGACATATTAATAGGGCTCATTTACACTTTCTCAACCACTTAGATGAAATCTCACTGGTCTACTCAGTACAAAGGAGAAGGCAAGGAGTAGATTAGAAATCTAAATGGTAATTTAAGGCAACTACTGCAGACTCATCAAAATGGAGCATGAAAATTCAGAGAGATATTTATTACTCTTACTTGTAATACTGGTTTTAATACAAGGTGCTATCAGCCCACCCCTGTGTGCAACTACGTCATCTGCCTGTTTCTTCTAGTCATCTGCTGCTGACCCTTGTCACAGATGGGATTCTGGACCTGATCCATCTTTTTATCCTTCTTGTTCTTGGGAGAATGCTACCTATTTCTGTTTCATTTGATGTTCGGGTTTGTTTTTTTTCTTCCTCCTGTGGCTGCTTTGGATAGACACCCAAATTTGCAGATCACCACACACTAAAATCTCTCTAGGGTTCACTGGCAAATCCAAATTCATGCTTGTCCACCCCATCTCATAAACGCAACTCCCAAGGTCAACCTATTCTCTAGAACTGTAGTCTCCAAACCACTAATTCCTAAACAACTAGTTTAGCAGTGGCCATGTAGATGACTGGTTTACCGGTCTCATGAAAGTCTTTAGTGCACAGATTAGGCTCCAATCGCCTAAGACCTGTGGCTTTGAGGAATACACAGCCACAGATTAGGCTCCAATCGCCTAAGACCTTGGCTGTGTATTCCTCAAAGCCACAACACAGTAGCCTGCATCAGGCCACATGAAAAGCTTTTCACCAGGCACAGCCCTTCCATGCTGTCCTGCCTGTTAAGGCACTCTGACATAAGCAATGGATGTGACCACAAAGCACATGGGAATGCCTAGAGAGCATGGAGTGGAAAAAGGGTTCTTTCCACAATGTACGAAGAGAAAAGGCCCCGAGTAGGCTGCAGGTCCCACAGTATTTCCATATGCTTTCAGGCACAGTCTGGTGACATCTGGAAGACCAAAGAGTGGTGAAGCACTTGTTATTTCTTAGCTCATGACCTTTTTGCTGTACAGTTCTGAAGGCTCCACAAATTGCACTGTGATATTTCTGGCTTCTATATTCTTTAAACAGTGGTACTGTACCAAGAAGCCTCTGCATAGCAACACAGCCAACCTAGAATAGCTAAGCTTAAGGCCCAACTCAAAGTCAACAGGAATCCTGGGTTTATGTTACGTGGAGCGATAGATCAAACCCTGGGTTTGGTGGGATGTGAAACCCTATATATAGTATGAATTTATGATCTAGATGTTCAAGTGTGACAATGAAACTGCTTAAAATAACATTTACCTAAAACAGCATTTAGAATATGTTTGCAAACTCTTGGTTCATACATGATTTGCAAGATTTAATTTTTAACTTACTTAGTACCAGATGGATTTATAAAAATCAGAATCTGAAAGCAGGTTAGCACATGTAAGCAATTAAATCATCCATTTCACTCGTTAATATTAATCTAAACCCATTATTTATTTTCTAACACATTCGCATAACTAAATTCTCTGCAACAACTGGGATTTGCAGAGATCCAAGACCTGTACAAAACTCCACATTTAGACTTAAACCCTTGACATATTCAAAGTCTCACAGAATTCACCAGAGTAGAAGCAAACCCAGAATCTTCCAACTGATCAACACAAACCTCTTCCTGGAATGAATGGAGTCACCCATCACTTTAAGAAGTGGGAAAAGGTTATCTTTTCCTGACTAATCACTAGCAGGCACAGCTAGCACATTAAGCAGTTACCGACACCACCCCACTGCAAAGCCAATTTTGCAAGTCTCAGATCTATACCTGTTCAAATCCCCAAATCAGCTATCACTACATACTGCAGGCTGATAGCAAGAAGAGAAACAAAAGCATGGCCAACAACTACCTAAGTCAAGCTCCTAGCTCTTCTCATCCCTGCAGAAACCCCAGATCTTGCTGAGTCTCAGGTTCCCAAGAGAGGTAAAGACTCAGGATCTTTCCATATCATGTACAGCTATACTGCCCTTTCACGAGAGCCAGATGGTAATTTTAACTTCAGTTTTTATGTGCAAAGCTGTTGCTATGTGTTCCTGTCAAAGCTCTTTGTAGAAAGGAGGACTCATTTAGAATTCACAGCATCACTAAGAAGTAGAGAAACCTTGGCATTTTGATTTATGTATGAGGAAACCAATGTGCAGACATTTTAATGGATCTACTCGTGGCCACCAAGTAAATCAATAGTAGAGGAAGCATTTGAGTTCAGGAGCTCCTAGCTTCCCATCCTGGCCTCATTCC